TATCATTGCTATCGTAGATATATATCATAATCTCCATTCGGGAGTCTCGTTCTTTCCACACAGCTAATGATGTCGCTCACCGTTATGAAGTGATCATTGGATTGGCGGTCATATAGGTGGTACAGGGCTGCCGTGCAATGTTGCGGAATTATTTTTAGCGAGCAGGGCTCGAAATAAACCCAAAAGTGCATCCTAGTTTGATGGAACTTGCATCCGATGACCAGTCACCATGAAATTTCTCATCACTGCTGTTTATCCTACGAGAACAATTTTGTGGGAAAGCATAGCTGAACACTTGCGTGCTGTATTCATTCAGGAACTCAATTCGAAAGAGATTTTTACAGATAATTTGGCGACATATATTATCGGTTGTGATTTCAGTAACATCGTATACACGACTTTAATTGCAGATGCTCTCTGATCGTCCTCCTGCACATCGGTTTCGGTTATTGCTTTGAGTTTCCGCTTCCGCTTGGACGGGAAAACATGTACCCGACCATGTGTGTTGTAGTGGTAAGAAATCATCCCAATTCTCTGGGTGCTCACAGATCTCGGAAAAATATCCGAGCAGAGAACTGCTTTGAACAGATGCGAACCTCACTAGTTCTCGTTTTATATCAGCTACTATTGATCAAGGCCCAAAAAAAAACATGAGGGTGATCAATGTCACAGCGAAACTTTTCTTCATCACCCATTTTCTTAGAACAAAAGAAAATTGACAGCTGTTGAAGTTGAATTTTTGACGCTTCACCTAATACTAAGAGTAGCACACATCATGGTTATGTTGTTGCATATGACCAATTCAAGAAGTACTCATTAAGGAAGATCAAGTGAAGATGAACGGTCGTAAATGGGGCCAAATTACCGGTGAAGACCAGAAAAAGGCTGCAGCCGACTATACGAAACGACTCAATGATTGCATCAAAGTAATTTATTGAACAATCCGGTCACTTTCCTTGATTTGGCCGTTTCAAAGTTGTCGCAATAGCGTCCGGCTCTCGAAGTGTAGCATTGTCTAATTTCAGGAAGGAACGGTAACGGCAGAATGTTTGCAACCTCCTGCATTCTGCGGTAAATATGAAAAGAGAATGGTCGAGTATAATGGCTGCGTTGTTCTGGTTAGCAGATTTGCAGCTCAATTAGCTTGTGCACATCCACGAAATCAATTTCGTTTGTTTGCTCTAAGTAAAATCTTTACGGTAATNAGTCACCATGAAATTTCTCATCACTGCTGTTTATCCTATGAGAACAATTTTGTGCGATTAC